TCCAGTACTGTCCAGAATGAAATAAACTGCATTGTGTTTTAAACCATATTTTGGAACTGGACACGCTGTAATGGGAAGGACAACAAGAATGAAAGAATTGGAGTGGATCTTTGTTACTGAACCTGCCTGTATCAGTGCTGCAGAGCAGCACACTTGGTCAGTGAGGAGTAAATAATAATGTAATGTCCCTTGGAAATACCAGTGTTTTGAATGAGAGGAACTTCTAAAGGCTGACATTTAAGTAACTTAATGTTTTTAAATGGCAGGAGGATCTTGATTATAGAAAATCCATTAACGAATTCCACATAAACATTAAAAAACTTCTCATAACTGTGTAGCCAAAAGTGATTTCTCTGCTGAATGTGAAGAAAACTCAAATCTAGTATTTTAACTTTTCTGTCACTTTTCAGTTAGAACATTTTAATATAATGTAGCTGAAGGTGTTTTCAGTTTGCCAAGTATGGTATTTCAGCTTGCATTTTCATTTTAAGGGGGGATGGGGATTGTCTTGGAATTACGTGATCAGTAGCACAGTCCTGAGGCAGCTGGTGTCAAATATTTTATTATACCAGACTATGGTAAATGGCTGTACAGTGAGGTCCTCCATCTGCAGCAAAGGGATTTTTGCTGTTGTCTTTCACTTTGCTTTTTGTCAACTAATTTTATTTCCTTCCCATGTGAACATGTGCACCATTATGAGAAATAAACTACAGTCCTCTCCTTGGCACCGTTAGCTGACATTTTTTCTAGATGCTGTGTTGCCAGCTTTGATGTTCCTTTTCTTCCAGTTGTACTGTTTTTACTTCCAGTCGTACTTACTTTGAAGAAACAAATCCAAAACCTGTGAGTTCATGTTCTTGTACTGAAAGTTTTGCTGAGGAAAACTAACCAAAAGGAGCTCAACTTGTTATATATATCTCTGGTGATAAAGAGCAGTTGAGGAAAATGAGTGGGGAAGCCATGCAGCTGATAAACAGCGTGGCTAGGGAATTTTTCCAAGACCCTAGGCAGCAAGTTAGACCAGGCTGACTGATGAAGGGCTGGTGGCACTTTTCTTGCCTCTGGGCTTTGGGCCTATATAGTGTAACTTCATTGGGTGCTGCTCACGTTTCTTCTAGGAGCAAAATGAAGTGTTTAATTCCTTGCATGAGCTGCTCGTTGGCCAAAAGGATTGTGTTCTCTTCTCAAAGAGAAAAAAGCTCCGGAAAACACTTTGTCTGAGGTGTAGATACATGTGGAAAGGAAAAGGAAAAAGTCAGATAATCTACCATCTCCTTAACAGATTGTGAAGACTAGCCTTCTTCTGTCATGACCTTTCCATTGATTTATTTTTGCAGTAGACTTGTGATAATTATTTTATCTCAGTGCTATTGTTTGCTTAGTGGCATTACTATTAAAGTGCTAGATTCGTGATGCCCTACGGCATTTTAAAGGATTGGTCTCTTCCTGAAGTGTAACCTGTCCTTAAATTTGTTGTGATTTACTTTTTTTTTTTAGATACGAAATTGTAGCAGTGTGGCACACCACTACTGGAATTTAAACCATACATCTGCAGCTCTTGTTGTGGTTTTAGGTTCCAGAAACATGAACACTGCTGCTGATTTTCCGGCAGACTGCTAACAAAATAATTCTCTTGTTGGTGTCATTCACTTCTTCCTGGTGTTATTCGTGGCTATTGCAAAGGAAAAGCTGTCGCTGTCTCTAGAGCAGCAATCAACCTCTGTGTGTGCGCTGATCACAGAGGAAGAGGAAAACAAAGGATATGTTTCTATATTCAAGAAGGTAGAACTTCAAGGAAGACTGACACTAAGGCATTTCAGGTGTGGAAGATTAACTTTTGCAAAACAAACAACCTGGAGAATTATTACCGTTTTCAAGTGAGGGACTTGGTGTGCCAGTTTGTTTGCATATTTTTGCTACAGCAAATTGATTGCAAAAGTGATGTGACATAATGGCAGACATTTCTGCCTTGGTGAAACCTTCTTTCACAGTGCAGTCAAGCGTTCCACTGTGATTATTCAGTTTTTAGAATTTCATGTATGTGGTGTACTGTTAAATTACATCACGCTAGAATTTGTCAAAGAAAGTGTCAACCACAACGTGAATTTTGACCTTTTTCAAAAGTGTGAACTTTTTCAAAAACTTTTTGAACTTTTTCAAAACTTTTTCTCTGTGTTGGTCTATCTGTTGGGGACAAAGCAGTGTCCATCCACATAGAGAGATTGTTAGTTCATGGGTAGTGGCTCAGCAATGTGAAATTATCTGTATTACGATGGGAGAAAAGAAAAGTTGCCTTCTGTGAACTGAGGACTGGTGCATTTTTCAGCATGATCATGAGAGAGATGGTCTTAAACACTTGAGATGTTTCAAGACTTTTCTGACTTCTTTTGTGCTTCAGAAATTCAGCAGTTGGGTCAGACCAGATATTGATCCCCAAAGCACAGCTTTTGATTGCTGGCAAGGGACCATAAAAGACTTCTGAACAGCCCATCGATTTGTGGGGTTTGGTTCTGGCCAAAGTCGTAACACAAAGTGGTTCCAGGGTACTGTGGCTTAAGATGAAAGGATTGACATGTGCAGGTTTACATTCTTTTCCATGTAAGTTTTCAGACTTAGTTACTCCTGTTATGTCTATACTTAAGACTGTCTTAATGGATTGAGGGGCACCGGTTCTAATCCTGTGCATGAATTTTTGCCTGTATGCAGCGTGTCGTAGCTCAGCACACAGGGTGTCTGGTCTTGTGTTACAGACGTGAATATTTCAGTGCTTGTGCAGATGTAACTGCTTGTGAGGTCCTTTGTGATAAATACACGTATCGTAACTTTGGAGACCATCTGTGGCATACTGCTTGCTCTAGGATATGAAAGCTACTCCTGTTTCAACAGAGAATATGGTCCTCTTGTGCATCAGGCTATATGTACATATATATACATATATTTATAAAACTGTGTATATAACTATATATAATTCAGAAGTTTTAGTGAGAATCCTGTTTGCCCCCCAAGACCGTATTAGAAAATGGCCAGTATAGGCATGCTTGAAATGTCAATACCACATGCTATCATATATTGAGTAATTTCTGCCTCTATATGTAAATTATACATGAACAAATATACATTATGGATGTGGATTCTGTATTGCATAACACAAGATTCACAGCGTGAATACGCTATTGTTTTTCATGTTTTGAAAATCCGGGGTGAGCTTTATTGAGTTAGCTCGCAGCCTTCTCAAAGGTAAAGGTAACTCAATTTCAACTACCGGTGTCATGTGTCTTAGGCTTTTTCTTCTTCACGTAATAAGAAACACTAGTTAAGGAAGAGATATCATGTCATTCTGTAATCACATTATTTACAGAAACCATGAAGTTCCGTGGAGTTATAAGTTACAGAACTATGAGGTGATGGAAATTGGTTTTGGTGTCATTGTCAAAAACAAGTCCCTGCTAGGAGCCTCCATGCTGCAGTAGAAGAGAAGGGTACAGATTGCAACAGCTGTATTAACGGTTTGTTTTGGTGGGTTTGACTGGTTTGGCTCGGTGTTGGGGTACTTTGTAATTGTTGACTGCTATGTTGAGGGCCAGCAAGGAATGATAAATATGCACTCACATAGTTACTTAAATGTGCTTAAATCTATATTTTGAAACCTAAGAACTGTGCTTTCGGGTCTCTGCAGCCTGAAGCTAAAGGAGCATGCCTTCCCTCTTTTGATACATTTTTGTACCATGAGGTTCACTGAAACCCCAATTTCAGCATCTGGATGACCCCAATACCATTGGCAAAAGTAAACCCCAACTCCACAGAGACCATGGGAGTACCATTAACTGAGTACCTCGAATAGTGCAGACTCACAAACTTTTGTTTCCCTTTCTGCAGTTGCACTCACTTTCTTGATTACCGTTAACATTCATGTGCTGTGTGTATAAGAGTGTTGGCAGAAGAGTGGTGCATGTTGTCAGACGTGAGTTAAAATATTGCCTGCATCATGCCCAACATGTTTGTTGCACATAAGCATGCGACTTGAGGGCTGGATCATGCTAGACAAACAGATCATTGCACTTTGTCATTTCACATAGTAAAAATAAACTATTTTTAGTTGTGAAATAGCTAGCTAAGAATATTCTGTGTCAGACTAGAAGTCCATGTATACTGGTGTTCAGGGAGCGTGTATATATGGGGATAAAGTACAAGGGGGTGCTGTGCATCCTCCCAAGGCTCTGCAGTCTGCACTCTTAGCTCTTACTGAGTTGGGGCTCAGATTTACGTCTTTGTATGCGTCTTCCATAAGCCTATCTGATTTGTGATTGACACACCTAATCTATCTTATTTGATTCTATGAAGATTTCACCTCAGAAGAGAGATGTCTGGCCAGGAAATTATGATTGATGATGAATATGCTTTATCTTGGGGGAATTGTTGTGGAAGCATTGCGAAAATCAGTAGATTATAGCTACGCGAAGTGCAGTGATTTAAGTAGCTGTCACCTTGTAGTGTCCTCAGAACTTAGTGCAACCTGCTTCTCTGAAAATGAGAAGGAGATGTAGAAGTGACAGCTATGTGCAACTTCGTTTTACTCTTTTAGTAGCATTGAAAGCATTTCTACTGAGAGGTGGCAAGGCAGTGTTAGCTGAGGGTTTTGTCCAAGGTTTATGCGTTTCTTTCTCTGAATAAAGAATACATTTATCCTTGTGTGCTGTTCGGCCGAACTTGGGACACATCTGTTGTCGGCAACTTTGAAACTTCAAAACTGCCACTTAAGACGCAAAACAGAAGTGGAGTTTGGTGGAATCCAGCTCCCCCTTTTGGTCCTTGTGTTGTATTATTTTCCATGTGGGCAGATTGTGTTGGGCAGAGGAGCTCGGAAAAGTAGAAGGTAGTCCTTTGAATGTGCACGCTTCTCTTTTATACTCAGAGGGATGATTGTCTTAACAGACGGTAACTCAGTGTGAAACGATTTTATTCTAGTAAGTGTTTTCTCTTTCTCCTTACTTTGTGAATAGCTGACAAAACTTGAAAAACAGCAACAAAGAAAAGAGAAGACCAGAACCAAGGTTCCCTCTGAGTCAAGTAGAGAAAGAAATGCCCCCCGTAACAAGGATGACCCCAGCGCAAGCAGTGGAGCAGAAGGAGATGTGTCTTCAGAAAGAGAGCCTTAGCTCATCCAGAGCAGGCCTCAGGTTTGGCTTTTCCACTCCTCTGTAAAGCTGTGTCATCCTGCTGGGCAGTCTGTAACCCTGGGTGCTTTACTGGAGCAGTGCATGCAGAGAGATGCATTGGAAGTGCTGAAAAGTGAAATGCTGATAGTCTTACTGGTGGGTAAAGTCCGCTTCTATCTGCAGTCAACATACCAGAATGCAGAAGTGAGTGAAAACGTCTTCCCAGCTGTAAGCTTGGCTGGAGGTGTGTGTATCTGTGAGTCTAGCCCAGCCATAACTATTTCCAGGTCGACTCAGGAAATCTAAAATTTTGGTCTTACAACACAGGAGTGGCTTAACTCAGAAACCTGCTTTGTATTCTTTCAGAGTGGGGATGCATGGTTGTGTTTCTCTGCCTGTCTTTACCTAGCAGGCAGGTCACTCTGGAACAGCCCCCACCATTGGTAATACCTGAATAACACATAGTCCCGAGCAATGGAAAAGAAAAACGTTTTAGAAGCTGGAGACAGGCCAGAAATGCAACTTCCTATCATGGTTCCTACCACCCCCTCGCCCCGTTCTTTCCCAGAATGACTTGATAACAGGTGGTTTCACATACCTTTGCAATCTGATGAGAGCATTAGGCCAGGCATTGAGAGCCAGCCCTGCTGCTTGAATTCCATATGAGAAGTGGGATTTCCTCTCCCTCCAGGCACTTGACCCGCAGGACATGACTGGACCTGCATGAATTGGATTAGTCTGTCTGAATATAGACCTGAATCCTTTTTCATGGATTATCTACGTGTGTGGATATGTATTTATCATACTCTTCCAGTCAGTTTTAAGTCCTCTGGACACAACTTGCATTGCCTTCCTTCCCCCCGCCCTCCCCAAGAGCTACATTGCTGATTTTGAACTTTGAAACACGTCCAGGCTCTCAAGATAGTATTATTTGAGCTGACTATGCAGTTCAGTTAACAGCTTTGCAAAGTTACGGTCTAACTTTTCTCTCTTCCCCATCTCTAGAGTTGAGTCTGACTTGTGATTTATACAATTCAGTATCATGCATTGCTCAGAAGGTTCCGTGGTACTAAAATAAATGAATTTGCAAAAGGCATTAAATAGATTTCTGGAAATACGCCAATTTATCTTGGATTGACCTGGAAAAGGGATCAAAGAAAATTTCAAGTCCATGCCTTCCAAGGGTTTTTTTCACTGGCCTTATCGAGAAGCTTCAAGGCTGGTGTGAAATGGTTCTGTTCATGACTTGGGTTGCAGTCGAAGTACAACATAGCTGGAGTCACACAAGATCTGCTTTATGCTCGGTGCGGCTTCGTGTTTTAATATTGGAGATGAGGAGCTGCACTAGGGAGGAGAATGTGTTCTTTAAAAATAAGGTGAGGATGTGCTGTTTCTCAGCAGCTGTCCGCCTCGCTGCTACGCCTTGTAGGAGTACAATGTTTCTCCCACTGTTTCTGAGTCCTGTGTTGAAGTAAGAACGTTTAGAGAGCAGGAGATGGCAGGCTTTGGTCAGTCTGACCTTTCCAGTCGCATTTGAGATTCTAGGGAGCTGAGCATTTGTAAAACATGATATATTGATAACCTAGCATTCATTTTCATGCTGTATCAATAAGTAAAGATACTTTTCTCTATAGGATTTGAAGGAATCATACTGTCTTTCTACGCTACTTATAGTAATGTTCCGTTTGTTTTCCTTCCACAGTTTCTCGTACAAAAGCTACACTGCATTCTTGAAGAGAGACCCAACAGACATTCACCTCAGCACCACTCTTCAACAGCTTTGGAAAAGAATGGAAAATGGGAAAACAGCTAAGACATTAGAGACCTGTATCGTTCGATATTGAAACAACCAAAGCAATGCTATCAGATTCAGTTGTTAATGTGTAGTATCAGTAGTGAGAAGGACTTGTAACATTTTTGTGTATGTGTTTTCACATGACTGCTGAATAAAGGGTGACTGTAGGCAGATTGTAGCAGAACATTCACTTTCAGTACATAAGCTCCATTTCGAATATAAATCAGGGTTTTTCCTTAAACTTACACTTGAATTCTGAAAGCTATCCAAGCAGGCTTGTATTTTGATTCTCACTCTGTGGTGTCATGTGCTACCTGTTTCCATGGCAGCATGTAGATCTCTGTATATTTTGGTACATCGTTCAGCTGCTCTGTATCACCAAGTTAGGCAGTCCAGTCTTTCTGCATGAGTTAAGTTATTAAAAGGAAAGATCAGCCGCTCGTTGTTTAACATGTGGAACACATCTGTCTTGTAAACTTTTTTAAAAACAGAAAAGACTTTATTAAACAAATGATGCTAGCTGAGCGCCTGTTGGTGTTTGTGTATTGCATTCGCCAAGATACAGCAATGTGTTTAACAGTGTGAGTGACACAAAGCAAAAGCTACAAGCTGGGAAACACCTCCTCTGGAAGTTTGGAAGTCAGGTTGCTGACCTGAAATCTCTGCTCTTTCCAGCACCTCTAAATCCTTCAGTTACTTTATGGTGGCCATCAAAGTGCTACAGCGGCTGCTCCATGTACCACATCGTGCACCTGCTGACACTTCTGTCTGATTCATCACCGGCAGAACAGCGTTTGGAAGCTGCCGGCAACCAACGAGAGCTGAGAAGCAGCTGCAGAACTACTCTTCTGTGGGTGTTAAAGCCAAGGAAATTTGGGGAACTTCAGGGGAAATGAAAGACGGCAGATAGTTAGTTACACCTTGGACTTCTTTCAGAGGTGGTGGTGGTACCACCTTTCATACAGGGTATTCTCCAGGCCTGCCTTGGCTTTATGGTCTTCACTAGCCATTTGCCATGGCCACCATCAGCGCCAGGATGCTTACTGCACGGCTGTCTTTACCTGATTCTAGAGCTAACTCACTGATGGTAGTTGTTGGTAATTCAAATGGAAATCATATTTACCGTACTGCAGACCATGCAACCACTGTGGTGGTGTTTTTTTTTAAAAAAAAAACTTTTCTCTTGGAGCTTTTTGCTTCTAACTGCTTGTTTATTAAACTGTTGGTCAGGAGAGTTTCAGAACTGCACCCTGACACGGCTTTTTAAAATACGTGGAGCTTAAGTAAAGAGCATAAAGCTTAAGTAAAGATTTAGCAAGCCACACTTAGTGCTTATCACGAATGGTGAGTAGCCAGGATAGGTTGAAATGTTACGCTTAGTCTTGCCTTTAAGAATTTACATTGTTTTTCTTCTAGCCTTTACATGCAATTTAGCTTGCCTGAAGTCACAGCCTTGCCACAAACAGTGATTTTTCACCCCCAGGTACACGTGTTGTGTCTTGTCCCTTCAGAGCCTTCCTCACCTGGGACTAGGGCCTGATAGGCTGTTGTGAGATTAGTGCTTAACTGGCTGCAAAGGGCAAATTCAGTCAAGAACACAGCAAGTGCCTGCTTCTCAGGTGTTCTATGGTTGTTGACCAACCCACCCTCAGACCTATCTCATCTAGCTTAAGTGTCATGCTTGCTCCAGCATGTTTGAAATCTTGTCTTCTGCTTTGCAACTTTTTCTTAAGAAGATGTGAAGAAAGTCCCACAGTCTCTTTGCATCCTAAAAGGTAAGCTGGTAGAAGCCAAATTAAAACAGAATAACAAAGGTTGAAAAGTATTATAAATACATCTCAGGGGAGGCAAGAGGTGGTATTCTAGCTATGTTTAAGCCAAAGTAAAGGGCAAAGAAGTGGTGGCTGTTGGTCAAAGATGAGGTGCCCTGATGCTTGGCTCCCTGCTCAGCCACGCTTTCTCTGAGTGACTGGGACACATGGTCTTTCTGAGTCTCTCTTTAATCAACAGCATTTTCCTGACTCACGTGAGAGATGTGAGGATAAGCTCATTGTAAGTTGGGATGTGGTCATGGCCTGCGGTGATGGAAGTCTGGGAACTGGAAATACCCAGGAAAGCTGTATGCTTCAGACAGATGCTTCCTGCTGTCCTGTGCCCAGCCTATTTTCATGCACCATAATTTGTTTCAGGATTCAAGAAAAACCCAACTAGCCAAGCCACTTTGTTAAAAGTGCTGTTTACTTTAACAAAAGCTATTGCCCTTTCTACTGGCAGCAAAACTTGAGAAAGGCCACTTTTCCGAGTGCATTAAATGGCTTAGAAACTCCGTGTCTGTCTCATGACTTTTACTGCTTACAGCGAGCTGTAAGGAAAAGCCGGGAGACTTGAATTCCTGTTTCGGTTGCTCTGTCTGGTGTTAGGCTTGGTTGGTTTCTAGTGCCTTAGTGAGCTTTTGTTGTCTGTTTGTGAAACAGATGAGGGGTTTTAGTTGGAAGGAATGTTATTTGCATTATCCTAAATGCTGAAAATGACCTTATTTAACAAAAAGGCATGTTTGTTTCATATGTTTATTAAATGTTAAGGGACAGTATTAATAAGTGATAATTTGCTGTTCATTATTCCCTTTTCTACAGATTTAGACTTACAGATTTTTCTCCATTTTCCTGTCCTACCTCACAGAGCAGTTTTGCCAGAGTTCACTTCTTTGTGATTTATGGGCTAGAGACAGAAGGTGACCATCTAATGTTTGCTAGCTATAATAAACCAGCTCCCCATTCAGAGATCCTGCAATGTCTGAGCTCCAGCTGCACGCTGGCTGCTCTCAGGTTAAAGTCCTGCGGGGAGAACCTGTAGGGTGGACGTTTTGGGGAGCACCCCAAAAATCAATAACCTGTGGCCGTTTGTCTTTGTGATAATGCTTCAAAGATCCTGGTCAAACCTTTTGGATTCCTTTCTGCGTCCTGCTGTGTTGGTGCTGGTATCGCTTTGCCTTGTGCTGTCTCGTGAACTCGGGCAAAAGTCACCCTCTTCAGTGAAATGCCTGGGGAACCTCTGAGCACCATGAAAATAATGAAGATGACAAGCGAGGGTCAGAATTACAGTTCCAAGCAAAGGAACCGCATCAGTCTGTCGTTTCGTTGTGGCTTCAGTTGTTCACAATTCCATACAGTTTTTACAGTCTCTGCACACCTACGATGTGTTCAACAAGCAGGTCTGCCTTTACAACAAACGCGCGTAATATTACAGAAAACATTCTTGGTAGGATTTCTGCAAACACCTGGTAGTGTTTGTATGTGAGCGAGGTTTGCAAGAAAGTCACGGTGGGTTTTCCCATTTGAAATTCTCAGCAGGTACCTGGGAGACAATCTAAATCAGAATAGAGATATTTTCCGTAACTGTTTAAAGTACTAGCTAACAAGAGAGTGTCCGCAAACCATTCTGTGTCGAAGCTCACTTAGTCACCCCGCTTCAGGTCCAATTTTTCTTCCAACCTTATTTTCTCAACAGAAGGCTCCCCAAGGAAGTCTCCCTGGTGAGCAGAAATTACGCTGGGACTCCTTTGAAAATTTACATCTGACTTGCATTGACTTCTACAACCGGAAAAGACAGTAATTGTAACAGTAAAAAACTGTTTTGCAGGTGTTTTGCAAACGTCGCGATTCAGATACTGAATCTGTGGGCTGTGCTGCTTTAAAAAGTAGGATTTTAAGAACGGATCAGTCAGAGTAAGCGATGCTCCTACAAAGCTATTTTGAAAAATGATTGGATAATTTTAATTTGGTGTGTAAATGCAAATGACTTAAAGGCAAAATAACTTATGACTATTAATGTACATGCTCAATGGATAAGCTCACAGTTTCAATTTTGGAAGCTAGTGTGGACGATGAATTAAAAATATTCTGATTTACAGAGATGCTAGTTCCTGGAGAATCCTTGTTTGAAGATGTCAGCAGTAGCTCCCTCTTTCCGCTCTGATCTGGTGGCCATGTGATGACGGGTTTCAGTCTCAAAATAATTTACTGCCCTATGGTAAAATACAGATTCCTATGAGAACTGCCCCTCTCATCTCTTGTTCCCCCTGGCACAAACGGCTCCAAGCTGAAGTCTTTTAAAGGGATAAGGAGTCAGGCTGAAGACTGATGACAATGTCCTTGTCCCTGAGAATGGATCATGGAAATGCTGAACTTCGGCTGAGAGAATGGATCATGGAAATGCTGAGCTGCAGCTGACCTTGGATTCCCACACCCAGCATGGAAGGGCTGATGGAGCAGGTATAAACCCAGCCCAAGCCTCCCTCTTTTCCTTGTAACTACATCATGCAAGTTATTGGCATGGGGTGTTTTAGGAAGCCGCAGATGTAAATGGGACTGAGATCATGGCAGCGTAGCTGTGGTGGATAAGAGATGTCAGGGGCCGGTGACAGCCCATGGCTTAGCAGGGTCCGAGCATCTCTGCTTGCACCGTCTGGGACAGATGGTGAGGGCAGGAGGTCTCCATGTGTGCTAACACCCTCCCGTGCAGGCTTGTGTGTTCATCTCAGCCCCTCGAGAGCGGGGCGTGCTGCCGGACACCTGAATTTTGGTGTGGGCTCAGTAACCTGACGTTATTCACGCGTTTGCACCCCCCTTACCTCACACTCCTGCTGATTCTCTGTGCTTGTGGTGCTCATTGCAAGGACCTGTGCTGGGCCTGCTGATGCTGTAGGTCTCCTGCTCTTCCTTCAAAGCTTCCAGGTTTTATCATTGCCACTCAAACAAATTGTTCCCAGTGTCTCAACAGAGACCTGATGCAATTTCAGCGTAGGGGACAGCTTCAGTATTTGAGTCTGGATAACGCCCATGAAACAGCAGGATTTAGAGAGAAGGAGGCAGCGGATCTATGGGTGAAACACCCGTGACTTGGGTGCCATGAACAAGTCAGTGGCACCTGCTTTGCCCCTGTGCTGGGTTTTCAGGGGAAGAAAGCAGGAAAGCAGAGTGCCTTTGTCCAGGCCTTCTCTCAAGCCTGGCTCTTCACAATTCCCTGGAGGCTTTTGGTCTCTAAGTTGTGTACACTCTGTTCAGTATCATCATTAACCTACTGATCTTTGTTAAAGGAATGCTTGGTAATTGTAGTTAACATCAAGTGCTTGCACAGGCCAGGCTGGACCAGGGAACGGTCCTGGGGTTGCATTGCCAAGAGATTTTAAAAAAGGAAAAAATGCGTGGTCAGGTTTTCCAGGCTGCAGCACGTCTCTGTGCTGGACACCCAGTGCTACGGCTGTGTGGGCCGGTGCACTGGGGTCTGGAAGTGACACGGAGGGATGGTCACAGCTGTTGTAGCAGGCATTCGTCTTTACACAAGAAATGTGTCTTGGTGGGTTGGCTGGTGTCAAAACCCTGAGGATGAATCAGGATGTTACGGGTGGCCCTTTCAAGAAATGTGGAAATGAAGAAATTAGTGTACACATAAAAAAGTAAATCTGAGATATTGGTGTTGAAAAGAAGCTTTGTGAATAATGTCAGAGTTGCTCATAAACCCTTAT